TCTAAAAGTAAGGTTGAGAGCTACCAAAGAAGGCACCCAGCGTCAACCTCTGGTCTGCACACCTGCACACACACGCGCGCTCACGTGCACACACGTACACACACACACACACACACCAGACACAGACACACATACACACACACTACACATACACAAGACCCCCCCCACCACCACACATATACACACACTCAGACACACGAGATTCCTAAATGTGACACCTACCCTCCAGGTTAAGAGAGTAGCACACAGGCCTGGGATTGACACAGCCTGCTACCCATTTGTGATCCCCTTCTCTCGGTGCCTCAGTTTCCCTTATCTGCACATCAGGCACAACACGCATTTCTGTCTGGTGGGTTTTGTGGTGAGGGTTCTCCACACGATCCTCACGACCCACTCAGCACAAGGCTTGGAACAGAACTCGGTAATGGATGTTTTCATGACTTACACACTCCACTACAGTGAACCGAGTCCACACAAGTCTCCAAAGGTACCCCATCCCCCCCCCTCCGAGCCCCCACCCTCATAAAGCCAACATGTTTACTCTGTGCTGTTGTGACAGACACCTCAGGGATGCTTCCACATACATACCAGTGGGAGGCTGCAAGGGGACTCGTATGTTCTTAGCAGCTGGACCCCACTTCTTTTTGAAGAGACCCCCTCTCCATCGGTAGTGAAGGGCAGTGAGCACTGTGGCTCACTGAATTCTCACTCTCCTTTGTTCCCTTGCATCTAGGGAGCTCCTGATGTCCGAGGGAGCAGGGAGAGCAGCAAGTGTGTCTGTCCCCATCCTCCTCCTGCTGGAGGATCCTGCCTGCTCAGGGTTTCCATGCCTGATGTGGAATTCTCTCTGTGGTACCTGCTGCATCCATCCCTCCAGGGCTGCTGGCTCAGCAAGTCTTTACCCATCAGGCCCGGTAGGAACCAAAAATGGCCACCTGTTAGATTATTCCTCCACCAAAGCATTTAGCTGACAACTCGAAACCTGTAGATCTCTTGCTGGGGTGCAGGTACTGGACAGGAAACAGTACCTGGCACAGGAGCTCTGTGTCTTGAGTATTGCCCATGTCCCTCCCCATCCATTCATCAAAGCCCCGATTCCTAGTAAGATGATGCTCAGAGCACAGGTTTTGGAAAGTGATTGAGTTGAGATGAGGCCTGAGGGGTTGAGCCCCAAGATTGAAATAATGGCCCATGGAAGGTGAGGGCACCAGGCCTCACTACCTTTTGTAGCCATGTGAGAGTGAGAATTCAGACAAGTGGACAGTCCTCATCAGACACCAACCCTGTGAACTTGGACACCACCAGAACTGTGATTAATGAACTAGTGTGTTTCCAGTTATATAATCGAAGGGATTTTTGTTACAGCGGCTTGAACAGAGCCACGTCAGAACCCTAGCCTTTTTTCTAGAAGGCTCTCTCATGTCTTCTTTCCAATCTGTCATGTTTCATTGACGGTGAACTCCGATTCCTGGTGGTGGGTTCAAAGCCACATAGTACCGAGGGTCTGGGAAGGAAAGCTGTGTACATCATGTGGTACTGAGTTCTCCCTTGCTAAAAAGGCTGTGGGCAGGTAACTAGGGTGCCTGCTGGCCCTCCTCCCTCACGTTGGCTTAAATCACCTCATTATTTATGTGAACATCTGTGTCACCCAACTTCAAGAGACTGGTTTCTTGGTGCCGGTTCATAGAGGAAGTTTGCTCAGGAAAGCAGGGAAGCATTAGGTGCATATCGAACGTGTGTGTGTGTGTGTGTGTGTGTGTGTGTGTGTGTGTGTGTGTGTGTGCCAGCTTCTTTGATACCAGTTATAGAATCCTATAACCGCCCTTCCAGGTTGGTCCCATCATCCCCAATTCTGCTCATGTCCCACAAGTAGCAGAATGGAGTCCCACACAAGATGGTCTCCTTGAAGGTCAATCGCAACCAAGCAACGAATGGAGTGAGCTTTGGGTTGGGGTGGCTCTGAGTTCAAAACCACTCTTCTTAAACCCCGTTAACCTGACAGACCCTCACCAGAACAGCCTCGTCTCCATCGTGGACTCCAAACACTGGCAGAAAAGGATGAGTTGGGGGTCTGAGTTCTAATGATACCTTCCTGGGAACAGCATCCTTCTGCCTGCTCCTCATCTCTGCTTCCCCCCTGTTCACTGCGTGTCAAAGGCTGGCAGGGACTTCTCCCCGAGAAACAGGGACCAAGCACAACTGGAAGAAGGGAGTGGAGCTACCTGGCCAGCTGAGGAGCCATCCATCCTAGCTTTCAGCATGACACACACACGTGGAGCTTCTTTCTACCTAACCACATCTGCCTCTTTCCTTCTCCCAGGCACCAGCTGCAGCTTTGGGAGCCCCTAGTGGAGGTACACAGTACGGGCCTGCAGAAGCAATCAACACCCAAGCGGGAGAGCCCGTGTACTGTGCTCCTTTGAATGCCTTGCAAGAACGGACTCCTGACCCAAAGTCACAAAGCAAACTGCTCTGTTCGGGAAATGTCCTTTCTCCTTGGGGAAGAAAAGGAAGGAGACTGGGATAGTTTCCTAACGCCATGCCCAGCCGAGCTGTGTGAATACAAGAAGAATCCTTCAAGTTTGGATCAGGTAGTTCCTGGTGGGGGCAGCCAAAACTCCTTGATAAAAGAACAGGAATTCAAAGGAAAACACAGTTAAGGGGGATGTAACAGTGACGCATGTCAGAGACTGGGGGAGGCAGCAAGTTAGAGTCTTACTGAGCAATATTGAATTTGCTTTGTCGATCCAAGGGATAAAGAAAAGAAAACTGAGTCTTAGCATGCATGTGCAATCACTCCCCACATGCATGTCTTAGACAAGAAGGATTCTCTTCAAAAACAAGCTGCACTTCATACTTATTCCCGCCTCCCAGCAAAACAGCCCAGAGAACATGAGCCCTGCATAGGAACACTGCAACAAGTCCCCACCCCTCACAGGCAAGCAGAAATACCAGTCTGCAAACACTGGGCTCCTACAACACCTCTCCTATGTGGTTTGAGTGGATTTGAGCTACAGGCTAAAAATAGAATTTATTGTGGAAGATCAATTGTTTCTAAATGGACCATTTGGAACTGGCAGTGCCCATGGGCCACCCTGGCTCCCTTCTTATGACTCAGTCAGAACCCCATGGTTAGTAATGAGCCTTTGGAAGAAGTGTATCAGTGGACTTTGATTTGGTGGTGACCTGAAGTTAATTAAAAACATATGCTCAATAGCCATGGTGTGGAGCAATTGGAAAACACAAAATGTCTAAAAAGAAAAAATCAAAACACAAATGCACACACCCTGCTCTTTCTTCTACACACTGGCACACACTGAGGACTCAGGATGCAGAATCCTGATCTTGGGTGACATTTCTTTACATGCCATTAGGACTCCCCCCCCCCCCCATGCCCATACTGATGCTTTAGAGAAGGTAAAACTAAAAGGTAGAATCACTTTAGAAAAGACGGCAAGCCCCTGGACATTTTTGAGTTTCTCGTGTGGAGTGTGTGTGTGTGTGTGTGTGTGTGTGTGTGTGTGTACAGATTTAAGAGCTGAGGCAGGGCAATCTGGATCCCATTCAAGGCCACCACGCTATTGTTGGAAAGAGACAGCTAATTAAGAAAGGGCATGCTGGGTAGAAACCATTGATTTAAACCACATCTCTTTTCCGTCTTTCCCAGGGAAACTGCCCAGACCTGGTATAAATTGGAAATACCACAGCCTCACAAAGGTGTGGGGGGGGGAGGGGAGCAGGGAGTTCTTAAGGATATGTTTTATTAAAGAAGGGCAAAGAATGTCCCTGCTCTCACTTCTGGGCCCAACAGTTAAAGAAAAGAGACTGGGGATAAATGCCTGATGTTTGCTGAGGAGGGCACTCCAGGCCACGAAGAAGAGACACCAGCACCCAGAGGTAGGGCCTGAGAGCTGTCCGGGGCCTCTGGTGCTGAACTCAGGGGTCCAGAATTCCCAGCCGAGATGCCGCAATGCTTATCCGTCCCCTGAACTTCAGATCAGGAAGACCCAAATGAAACGGACCTCATGCTGCAGTCACCTCAGGCAGACACCCAGCCATGTTTTGAAGTTACCATGGGGGTGGGTGGGAAACAAGAGTCACATCTTGCCAAAAGGAGAGGTTAAGCGGTACAAACCCAATAGCCCGACTCGCTAGGCTCCCCCGGTGTCTCCAGCCAATCCCCATAGCTCTAGGGGTCAGCTTTGGATAAGTTAGATTACCCACGCCTCTCCACCTCCGTTTCTCACTGTAACTTCCTGGGACCCCAGGAGGGTGGAGCGAAGGTGTGGCTCCAGGTTGGCGAAGGAACTGACAACCTCCACAAACTCAGACCCCCTTCCTAATCTGCAAGCACGTGGCTTGCACTAACACTCTTTCTTCATTCCAAATATCGACGAGGGAGGCTAGGCTGTATCCAGGGAGAAGGGGCCCAGCCACTGATGTTCTGACATCTCTTTTCTCACCAAGTTCTGGGAGCCCCGAGCTCCCCTCCATCCGAGAAAGCCACACCCAAGTCCAATTTCTTGACACCTGGCTGGGACCCATCCAGGGGACAGCCCCTCCGGGTAGCCCGAGCCAGCGTGGGATGATGGGATGGGAGGGAATTTGGTTCTGGTGACAAGCAGTCAGCTGTCCCCTTCCCATACCTATCCTCTTCCACAGAGAGCGACAAAATAACCTGGCAGTCAGCCCCGGGTGCAGTTACAGAGAGCTTCCAGAATCTGGAGGTTTGGAGAGGACTCCACTCCAAGAAGCTCCCCCGGACTACAAAAGGGAGTCTGTCCCCAGCCCGAGAGACCGACGAAGGACCCGAAGCCCAAGGCAGGAGTCCTTCAGATGCGTCCCCACCTCCGCGCTCGGGCAGAGACGAGTTGCCCAGCCCCGAATCTGGGCGGCCCGGCGGGTGGCGCGTGTGTCCTCGGACCAGCCGCGACCCCCTACTGCCCAGGTCAGCCGCGACAACTTTGCCCCCTCTGGGCCGGGGTCCTCGGGGTACTTACCTTCCGCCCGAGCTGCTGCGGGGCTCCCCAGAAGCAGGGCGACCAGAAGCAGAGCGATCCTGCCGGGTCCCGAGGCGTGTGGCCGTGCCACGGGCATCGTGGCTGCGGAGCCGAGATCCGCGCAGAGAGATCCGTGTAGCGGGGTCCAGGCAGAAGGATTCAGGCAGCGGGGTCCAGGCAGAAGGATCCAGGCAGCGGAGTCCAGGCAGAAGGATCCAGGCAGCGGGGTCCAGGCAGAAGGATTCGGGCAGCGGGATTCAGGCAGCTCGGTCCAGGCAGAGAGGGATCTGAACAGAAGGCTCCGAGCAGCCGGGTTCCGGAACGAGGTCTAAGCAGAGGGATCGGTGTAGCGAGGTTCAAGCAGAGGGATTTGGACAGAGCGATCCGGGCAGTAGGGTCGAGGCAGCGGCTCCTGGCGGACGCGCAGCCCGCGGTGGCTCTGGCCGAGCTGCACCGGGCGCGGGCGACGGGCGAGTGAGGAGGAGCCGCGGGCGGCGAGGGAGCGGAGGGCGGGGGCTGGGGCCCGAGCGAGCGAGCGAGCGAGCAGGAGAGAGAGCTAGCGAGCTGGCGAGCGAGCGAGCCGAGCGAGCGAGGGGGAGTGAGCGCGAGGAGGCGGCCGAGGGCCGCTCCGGGGCAGCCTGGCCCTCCGGCCCTGAGAAGTTGGTGATATCGCCGTGTCCCAGATGGGCCCAGGGTCCCCTCTCTCTCCGCGGATGCTGGGGCAGCCAGACAAGGCGGAAGAGAGCCTGATGTGTCCCTGCAAACCCAGTCGGCTAGGAGCACGGCTTCTCTCTCCACTGCAGAGCCTTCTTTTAGGCCCCTGAGGGCCCCACCGGGCCCCACCCGCCCAATGCCCTGGAGCTTCCACAGAGAGTCCCAGTAACCTAGGAAGTCACATCGACTGCATCCAGGGACCTTGCTGGATCAATACACAGGACTGTAGAATCCTGTCTGATACCAAGTGGCTCTCCACCCTGGAGACGCCCAGCCACAGGCTCCTAGGTGTAGACCCACCACCACCCATGTTAGGATCCCAGTTCCATCTCACTCTCAACAGGGTCCTGAAGATCCTCCAGGCTTCCAGAGCCCGAGCCCCATTTTTCCCTCCCCCAAGGAGATCTTTGGGTCCCGGTCCATCCTCTGGCCGCCGCTGTCCAGTTCAGATTCTCCAGCAACGGGTCTTCCACAAACAGGAGACAAGCAGCCCCTTGTAGCCGGGCACTGGCCAGGGGCCCCTTGAGAGATGCCTCACACCCAGGGAGACCAACCTCCTTGTTCCGCAGTTTCACAGGCCCAGCTGGCTTCCCAGGCCCCCCACCCCAAGTGAAAAGCCCTCCCCTCCCCCACCCCACCTTGCCACTCTGCACAGGCAGAGAGCAGATGGAGGGAAGGTTGTAGCAATTGGGGAAAAAAATGTCTTTAGCAGAGTGGAGGAGCTGGGAATCCCTAAAAAAGAAGTGGGGGAGGGGAGAGCTGCAGGTGGGAGGAAAGCTGAGAGGAGGGAGTTTTCTGGTCCTGGCTGCAGAAGCCCCTGCACCCTCACTGCTCAGATGCTCCTCTACAGGCCGGGCACTTGAAGCTCAGACTCTATCAGCCCTAAGGTGATGGAGAGCACACTCTATTTTCTCCACGCTCACCCGGGCTCTTGGGCCAGTAAAGCCACATGAATTTCAAAAAGTGCAAGTTTGAGACAGAGACACTTAGAAGGCCTGCTTCCTCCTCTAGGGGAACCCCAGGGTGCTGTCCTGCCTTCCTGCCCAAGGGACAGCAGCTGTAGGGAGCAGCCTGGCCCATCCTCTCCTCTCAGGGCTTGCACAGGACTAGCAGCAGGCGGTGGGTCAGTCACTCCTGAAGAACAGGAGCATGAAGGAGGAATCCAGGAAAATGGGGTTGGAAAGAAGAATAATGGAGACACAGGTGCCGGCTTCCTCCTGGGAGGCCAGAGCAGGAAGGTATAAATACCCACTGCTTGCCAGACTCTGTGGCGGGGTGAGGCCTGTGTGTCTCGGTTTCATAATGAGCATCAGCGGTCATGATGATCAGCATCTCCACTGGACCCTTACAGAGTGCCCACCCCTCCAAAGGCACTCAGCCAGGAAGTGGCAGGATGTGATAAGTTCAAGGCCAGGCCTGAGTTGAAAATCAAACTCTTGTCCCCATACATGATCCTTCTCAACAACAAGGTGGATGGCTCTGGGCTGTGACTGGGTAGCTCCTCCCGGCTCTTCAACACATTACAAGTCCATCACTGCAGTCACCATTTAGGAAGGGTGGGGAGTGTTTAGCATGAGCTTGTGTAGATACAGCGGTATTGCCATAGACTATCAACCCTTGGTGGCTGTGGACTAGTTCAGTTTGTGCTGAAGCTCTGTAAAAGAGGGAACCTCAAAAATCTGAAGACGTGGCGTTGAGAGTGTCAGGTGGATGAAGGTCACCGGCAAGAAGCACCAGCTGGGGGATAGAGCTAGAACAAAAGCAGTGTGTGGGGAAAGATCTTCCCCATCACCAGACCCATTTCACAGAAGGGTAAACTGAGAGGTGGGGAGGCAAGGTGACATGCTTCACACCGTGCTTGGTCCAGCTCTCCCCAGGTTTGTGCTCTGTCTACTGCCATATTGTGCCTGGGTTTGGCTTTGGGGTCAGTGTGACTTCCTGTGGCCACTGTCAGCTGGGTAGAGGACCCCAAGTTCTGTTCCTGCAGTTGGAGTGAGCCTGCAGTTCTACCCTCCTTACATGCTGCTGTGCAGCCAAAACCAGTCTGTGAGGGTGAGGGCTGGACCCTGGCCTCATCTGTCTTTGAACAGAAGGCCAAGAACAAGAGACTTGTACTCTCTTAGTTCCCATTTCCTCTCTTGAGGCGTAAGGGCAAAAACAATGTCTGTCATGTGGAGTGATTGTTGACAACGTGCAACATTCTCCTCCAGGCAGGGCAGGATGCTCTGTGCATCCTCACAGACCGAGGTAGAGGACCACGGGGCTGGGTCAACTCAAAGCTTAATCTGGGTTTGGCCTCAGTCTGAGTAACTGTTATCAGCAGTGCCCTGGACCATGAGGGAACCTCGGTGCCAACCCAGGTACCTGTGGTCACAACAACAGCGCAGACAGGAAGCTGGAGCTTCTGACCCCAGCTCTGCCTTTCTGAGAGTCTTTCTGTGAGTCACTCACCTCTCTGGACTTCCTATGAATTCACCCATTCACTCATCCACCCACCCATCCTTCCATCCATCCATCTACTCACTCAACCATCTATTCACTCAGTTATTAACTTTAATCATCCATCCATCCATCCACTACCTACCGTTTACCAATCCATCCACACATCCACTTAACTATCCATCATCCATCCATCCATCCACCCGCTCAACCACACATCCATCTACCCATCCATCCATTCTTCTGTGCATCCACTCATTCCGCCCATCCATGTACCCAACAACCTATCCACCCATCTCTCTCTTCTACCCATCCATTTGCCATACACCACCTTTCTATCTAGCCATCTACCTAGTCAGTTACCTATTAGCCTCTCCCTTCTCCCTTTTTCTTCTCTCTGTCCCATCATTTCCTCTTCCTGTCCCCCTATTCATCCAGCTGTTCTCTATTCATCTGCCAATCTATCCATCCACCCACTACCCCACATTCTTTGTGCTCAATGAATGGTACCTACATGTCCAACTCAGTGCAAGTGGCAGTGAATGCAAGTATATGTCATCTCCTGCTTTCTAGGACTGTCTAGTGAGGTCTGTCAACCCAAAGGCTCAAGTCCTTTCCCGTTAACCAATACTCTGTGCCAGGGAAGCAGTTTCACAGAGTGGCCAAAAGTCTGGGCTTTGAAACTTTATAGCCTGAAATTGAATGGCTTCCTTAATGATGACTGTTGACCTTCAACAAAACTGAAAGACATCGAGGTCCATCTTTCTTCACACACTGCCCAGACCAAGCATCATGCACCTCTGTCAGGAACACCGGTCTGAAAGACTTTTATCACTGGGTACTGGAGAAGAAGAAAATAACCTGCTATTTTGAAGAGGGGAAGCAATATAAATGAAGACATCACCAGTAAGAGGGATATAATAAAAGGCAGTATACCCTTCCCCCGCATGTCTTTGAAGTGAAGATGGAGCCTTCAGAGGCATCTCATGTGGTCTTCATCACAGAGCACAGATTCTGCAGCCCCTAGTGGGAAGCCTGGGTCCTCACTACGCTCTGGCTAGAAGCCGACAAGGACATGGTCAAGTGTGAGACAGCCCACCCCACCTGGGCACACACATCTCTTAAATGCCTGTGCAAGAAGACAGTGCCTTTACTTTGCTACTGAGAGTTCACAGAACACAAAGCCAGCTCATGGAGGGATCTGCATTCTCCAGGGGCCAGAAAAGGACAGGAAGCTTCTGCAAGGCCAAGAGCATGGAGTAAGCGCAAAGATGGGGAGAGAAACGTCCATGCGATGGGGCGCCACAGCCGAGATCTGCAAGCCCAGTGGGAAGATTCTCCTCATGAAGGGTTATGTGCCCTGGCTTCAGGAGGGAGAAAAAAAAATCAATTAATGACTGTGTGTATTTATATCGTCTGATATTGCAAACCATGACACACATTTTCTAGGCCACTGAGAACAGCCTTTGTCTGCATAGATGCGCTGGTGGGTTATCCTAAGCCTTGAGAGACTGGGGACCTGTGTATAACTGTGCCCACGGCTCAGTAGGTTCGTTTGGAGTCAGAGATGCCTGGAGTTGAGCTAGAATTCCCTCCTGGGATGCAGCCTGTGAGGCTCAGTTTCCTCATCCTCGGGCATCATCAGTGACCACAGGGTCGCTGCTGGGGGAGGGGGTGGGTCACTCCAGGAAAGCTGAGCACCCAGCCTGACTTAGTGGGGTGCTCAACAAATGTGATTGAGGCTGCCGCCCCCAGAATTACTGATGAGCACTGGGCGGTGAGGCACACAGGCTGCAGGAAAACACTCATGGGGGGTTCGCTCAGTGAATTCGTCAGCACCTAGACCCCCCCAGAAACAAGTCTGGCTGAGGTTAAGGGCACAGAGAAACTAATGCTCCCCAGCCTTCCAGACTCTTGGCCAGTCAGATCTGTTTTCTGGGTGACTGGCTTCCTGCAGAATTAACACAGACAGCCTGCTCTGTTCAATTCCAGGAACATACTATAGTCCTCTGCCTTCCTCTCCAACCTCATCAGTCTCCTCGGTGTGGGATACGGAAGGGGCCAGGCTGGGTCAGTCTCCTGCTACTCAATATTCCATCCTTGTTCCTGGCCACAGCCAGACCTTGGCACCCAGGAGGACAGGAGAGGGAGGGCAAAGGGCAAGGACATCTGAAGAACCTCTGAGGCTGGCAGGGAGAAGCTGCACACCCAAGCTCACCAAGTCTACGTGGATCTCTTTTCCAACATTGTCCCAGAGGAGTGTCACCTTGGCATAGAGCCCAAGGGATTGTGGGCTTCCCTTGCCTC